ACAGGGAAAAGAAAAGAAAACAAAACAAATAAAAAATAAGTATCACCACAAATGCCTAATAATAAACAAATAAATACAGCAATTCAAAAACAAGAATAAGGAAGACAACATGAGCCCCCCAAAAACACAATACCTAGGGGCCTGCGCCATGGCGCACTAGGTTAATCCTCTGCCTGCAGCGCCAGCATCCCATATCGATGCTGGGTTCTAGTCCTGGTTGCTCTTCTTGCAGTCCAGCTCTCTGCTGTGGCCCGGGAGGGCAGTAGAGGATGGCCCAGATGCTTGGGCCCCTGCACTTATGTGGGAGACCAGGAAGAAGCTCCTGGCTCTTGGCTTCAGATCAGCACAGCTCCGTCCATTGTGGCCATCTGAGGGAGTGAACCATTGGAAGAAGACCTTTCTCTCCATCTCTCATCTCTCTCTCTCTCACTGTAATTCTACCTGTCAAAAAAAAAAAAAAAAACCAACTAAAGAATACAACACTTCAAGATTAGAATGTGAAATGAAATGCCAGAAACGAAATTCAAAAAATTGATCATATGATTACGTAGAAGTAATAAGAAGCAAATTCATGAACTAAAGAAATCTGTACATGATATGAAGGGAAATTTTTCATACAAAATTGAGATTTTTAAAGAGAAATCAAGATGAAATACTGGAAATGAAGTATTCAATAGAACAAATAAAACATACGGTGGAAAGGCTTAGGAACAGACTTGGTGAAGCAGAAGAAATAATATCCGAGTCAGAAGACAACTATCTGGAAATTTTACAATCAAAGTGAAAAAAAGGAAGAAATTAGAAAACTAAAACACAGTGTTAGAGATCTATGGGATACTATCAATCAACCCAACATACAGGTCTTAGTAGTTCCTGAAGATGTGGAAAGAGATAATGGATTAGAAAGTCTTTTTAGTGAAATATTAGTGAAATAATTACAGAAAACATCCCTATTTTGGAAAAAGAAAGGGCAGCCCAAGTACAAAAAACTCACAAAACACCTAATAGACATGACCAGAAAAGAACTTCATGATGACACATTGTAGTCAAAGTCTCCACAGTAAAACATAAAGAAAAGATTCTAAAATGTGCATGAGAAAAACAACAGATCTCCAATTAGACTCACAGCATACTTATCAGAAACCCTACAGGCTAGGAGAGAATGGTGAAACACATTCCAAGAGAAGAGAAAAAAAATGTCAACCCATAATACTGCAACCTACAAAGCTCACATTTATGAATGAGGGTGAAATAAAGACCTTCCATAACAAACAGAAACTGTACCACCTGTACAGCCTTACAAAAAGATGCTTAAGAATGTGCTACACACAGAAACATGGTCATCACACAGAAGGCAAAGGAAGTAAAGCTCCTAGTAAAAGTACAAAAGAAATCCAAAGTAAAAATAGGAGTCGCTTCAAGAGGGGCAGCAGAAGAGTTCTTGCAGGGCACTACTGCAGACCCTCCCCAGATGAGATTGGTTAGAATAGCAAAGAAAAAAGTCCTAGACATCAAGGTGATTAGACCAAAGTCCATTAGGAAAGCACACATACAATGGGGCACGGTGTCCTCACAGCAGACATCAAGATGAGAGATGCTCTATTCAGGTCTGTAAAAAGGGGGTCTGGTTAAGGAATTTGCATGAGGGTTGAACTAAGGCACGTATTTCGTAGCATATCTGTGCCTGGGAATGTTCAAGGCTCTGGCTTGGGCTCAAGCCTTCAGGGAAAATATGGAGCTGGCTCAGTCACACATTGGTCAACGTACTGTATTTCCTGGTCAGGATGAAGATAGAAAGCAGAGGTAGCTGGGGGACCATGGTGCCTCATTCCAACAATAAGCCATTACTTCTTGTTCTTGTTTTTCCAGTGTATCATCTAACATCTGTGGGTCACCTATGTTGATTTCAGTTTCAAATACCTGCCACTCCTTATCTTGTCTACCATATTATATTTTCAAATAAGAAAAGAAATCAAATAAAAAATCTTTCACTTCCTCAAGAGTACAACCACAGGATTACCTACATTCATATCTTTTACTTTGTTCTTCTACTTATAAAGGAGGAACTGCACAGGTTCAGTGACGGCCAATCTCTTCCTGTGTGCTCTGGTAAAAATATATTCCAATCACTTCAGAAATCCCCTCCTGTTACATATTTTTCTTTTCCTTTTTAATTTAACCTTTCTTGTTAATATATTTCCATTAAGTAGGAGACATAGTACTCCTATTTTTCTTCTTTAAATCAAACTGATTGTTTTTTTCTTACCAAAGCTACTTTCAATGCAGAATTCCAAATGATGGGTATAGCATAAATCTTCAATGTTCTTTTTTCCTATTTTTACCCTTTTGTGCAATATCAGTTTTAAATGAATTCATGAATAACAAACCTTATCACATTTCTTACTATTCCCTTCGTTTCTCATCTGCTCCAGACATGCTGTTCTCTCTTTTGCCCATGAACCTTAATTTAAAACAAACATTCCAATCATAGAAATTTAGTCTTTCCCTGTATTCTACTGAGAATACTCTTGTTCCAATATCTGCATAGCTCATTACCTAACTTCACCCAGGTATCTTCCCAAATGTTGTTATGACTACCCTAGTTAGACATATCTCACAGATTCAGCTCCATTAGACTATTTTAGCATATCTCAGGACCCTAATTTATTTTCTGTTTTGGACTTTTTCTACATTTGAAACTGTACATTGTATAGTTATTTAGTTTGGGGACCTACAGTATAAAAACTTTCATAGTTACAGTAATGGTAATTATTTCATGAAGTTATTGAGACAATTAAATGAGTTTCTACATGAATAAGTCCTTTTAAAAAGTTTTTAGAAAATATTGTTCAATGAATTTTTATTTGTATTATTTTAAATTTTTTTCTATAACTAGAATACAATATATAAGAAAGGTTCCAATTATTTTGTTTTCTGCTTTAACTCCAGTTCCTAGAGAAATGACTGACAATGCTCAACAGATATTCATTGAATTAATTCAAAGATGTCTCTCAAAGCTACAACTCTAGCCTGAATTTACCTTCCATTTTATTTGGGTATTTCAAATCACCTTTTAGATTTCCCTTGGATGTCTAATAATATTTCAACCTATGTGACTACAATAAAAATAATGACTATGTTTCTTAAAATAGTTTTCACCATCTTCAAAAAATTAGTTATCTTTGATCCTTTTCTTTATTGCCGCCCCCCACCAAGCAGTCAGTCTCATAATCACTGAAGTAAATTCCAAACCCAATCACTTGTTACCACCTTCTCTGCCAGCTTCATATCTTACCCAGACCAAAACAATTGCATCCCAATGTTTTCCACTGTTATTTTCTAATTGTGTGTTTTTACACAATAGTTTGATCATAGCATATTACTTTCTAAAACTCACTGATACCCACCTACTGCAATTGGAAAAAAAAATCAAGCTCTTCATTATTTACAGTTTCCTACAGGACCCAACCCTGCCTGAATATCTGTGCCCATTTCCTTCAAATATTTTCCTCGCTTTCATCCAGCCATCCTGCTTTTTGTTGTCTTTCGACTACAGCAAGGGTGTCACCAAGTCAAATTTGTTTTTCCTTCAGCCTGAAGCCCTCTTTATCTAGATCTGTTCTTTCCAGCACCTTAGCCATTAGGCATATGTGGCTATTTAAATTCAAATTAAGGTTCACAAATTTAAAATTCAGTCCTTGGCTTCATTAGCTATATTTCACATGCTAATAGCACCTGAAACAGATCCATCATCACAGAAATTCTACCAGACAGGAAAGCTATATACCTTTCTATTGCCACCTTCTTAGGGTTGTGCAGATTTCACCCTTCTCAAAAAGTTCTTCCATGGTTCCTAAAGTAGCCTTTCACCCCAGTCATTATCACATTATAGCATTTTTTAAACATTTCTCTTATATTTATTTCTTTAAAAACTGAAAGGAGCGGCCGAGAGCCGCCATAAAATGGCCTTAATAAAACAGTCCTGGGAAATGGGGAGTAAACTAAGTTCACAGAGAAAGCAGATAGCTACTAGCCAGAGATAAGGGCTACTACCCAGAGATAAGGGCTACTACCCAGAGATAAGGGCGACAGAACATCCTGGTATGCACCTAAGCCCCCTCCCCTGTGCTTGTTCAAGCTTAACAAAGAAACCGCGAGACACGTAGGGCACGTAGCCACCCCTTTCTGCTCTTCAAGGACCCCCTCCCCTTGTGCAAGCTTAGACACGTAGGGCACGTAGCCCCCGTTTCTGTTCTCTCCTCCTCCTCGAGGACCTCCTCCCATTGTAGTTACCCAATAAACTTACGCCACCCTATGGTATGTTAATTTTGTGGTTTTGCCCCTTAAAAGCTGTGTGAGATAGCTGCTCGGGGCTCCTCTCGCTTGCTTGCTGCTTGCAGCAGCAGGGGGCCCATTTGCGCAAATGAAATAAAAATTACCTCCTGCTCTATTGCATCGTCTGGTCTGGAGTCTGTGTTTCTGGGGTCCTCACAAGAGGACACCGCTTTTGGGGTCCTACATTTGGGGGCTCGTCCGGGATTTGGGGGACCCCAGACTCCCACACTCCATCGGCCTGACGGAGGTAAGTTTGCTTACTTGTGTATTATTGTAATTGTGGTTTGTACTGTTTGTCTTTGTCTGCCAGGGCGACGTGGAATCCGTCCTGGGGCGGTTTGTACTGTTTGTCTTTGTCTGCCAGGGCGACGTGGAATCCGTCCTGGGGCGCCTGTACAGGCTCAGTATTGACTGGACCAGTGGGGGAGACAGACGTGTCCTGAGACCCCTGGTTCAACCCTGGAGGACGCTCCAGTGGTGGTCTGGGAAGGAGGGAAAGAGGGAATTTCCCTTCTTCCAGGGGAGAGCCTGGCCAGATGGCCGCTCCCTTCTGATAGTTTCGGTTTTGTCTAGGTCTGTTGCCGCTCGGCTTGTGATTTGTGTTCTGTGTGTCACTGTTTTTGTTGTCCTTTATTTCTTACTGTCTCCCCCATCTGTTTTTATTGTTGTGTTTGATTGCTAGATGTATACTTGTATGAAAAATGTGTATTGTATTCTTATGATGTGTTAATTATGTCTACTTCTCAATGCAACTCTAGGGCCAAATGTAAGGACAAATTTTTGGAATGGAGAGGCTTGTACCTAGATTTGGCTCTGGTAACCAAGAAACTTTGCTGCCGAATGACCTTCTCCTGCTCCTTGGGAGCCTGGCCAGTTCCCAGGGAGGAGGATAAAGGAATGTTTTCTGATAAACAGGTGGGCATGCTTCATGTCTCGGCTCTCTGGCCAAGACCCGAGATGGGACGCACTGCTTGCCTAAAATCTTGGCAATGAGCCACCCTTGTCCTTGGGGGCTTTAAGGGGGAGCCGGAGCAAGCCTCTGCTGCTGCTGTTTCGTTTCGGGGGGAACATGCAGTCAAGCTGAATGTTAAATGTGCCCGTGATGATTACTAATAATGTTTAATTCTCAGTATGGATCCTTCTCCGGAGCTGTGTGAAGATTGCCTAGTGATACCCACAGTACTGTAAATTCTACAAAACATAAGTACAACGTGGACATGATCAATTGGCTACTGTGATTGAGGTGTTCTGTGACAGTCCCTTTAATGAGAAATTAACAAAATGGATTAATAACAGGACATTCAGGACCTGACACTCTGCTTGGTATGTCATTACAAAAATCATCAAGGAGGGCTATGCCTGATAAATGAGGGTGCTATAAATGTGGGCAACAGGGACATGAACAAAAATTGTCCAGAAGTCAAAAATCAAAATAAGGCTCTTCCTGGGATTTGCTTCCAGTGCTAAAGGGGAAGGCATTGGGCCAATAAATGTCACTCCAAAACTGATAAAGAAGGTAATTCATTAAAAAACAGAGTTCAGGAAACTGGAAGCGGGGCCAGTCTCAGGCCCTCCCTACAGGGATCAGTGGACCATCTTGCTATAGTATCATTAAAGCAATGGAGCCATGTTTATTGCAACATTCTGTAAATCTATGCTCCTTTACCATCTTTCCTGTAAATAATTTTAGTGTGCACTACAAGGCTTGCAGCGTATTTCTTGTGGATTAAACTAAAAGTAACTAAGTCTGTGCACAGCAGACAGCTGAAAAGTAATTTACTGTCACAAATTGGCATAGTTGGCAGGATCCGCAAGTATGCAAAGCAATGCCTTTCTTTAAAAGAAAAACTGAAGTTGCATGTGTAACCTGTGATGTTCCTGGCTGGAAAGACCTTCAGTTCGCCTGTTTGGTGAAGGAATGGGCTCTCTGCTCAGAATCGAGTGAGAATTGGGATGGCAAGTTACAGAGTGCACAGCCTCCACAAGTTATTGAGGTTTTGCTATCAGTGCCGGTGGAAAAGGGGGATGAACTATAGGCTTTGGGGAGGTGAGAATGGATTTTGTTATCTGCATACTGATGCATGTGTAAGCAATTGGAAAAATAAGTACAGGATAAATGTAAATTGGGAAAAAGAAAATGCTGCCCTTTGGAGTCAAACTGCTAGATAGTGGTAGAAAAAAAAAATTATATCAAGCTCCTGTACTGCTGCCAGGGCCAACTAAGGTTATTCAGTGTAAACAATACAGAATTCCAGGTGGATATGAGAAAATATCTAAAACAGTAAAAAAATTATCTTAGTGCTGGAGTGATGATTCCCATAATCACTAAAAAAAAATTATCTAATTTGGCATGTTAAGAAATCAGATGAAACCTGAAAAATGACTGTGGATTACAGGGAATTAAACAAAGTTACTCTCCCATTGACTGCTACAGTCCCAGATACCATCATTTTGATGTAAAAGGTCACAAACATAAAAGCGTGTTCTTGATAAGGAAAGTTAAAAGAAAGAGATACTTTTAAATAAAAAAGGGATATGATTTGTAAAAATTGTTTATAAAAGGGGGGGGAGAAGAGAAAGGTTTGAGCAAGTTACAGAAGGTGTGAGAAAGTCACAAAATGTTATGGGAAGAAGAAATCTTTGGTTATTTTCTTTGACATAAAATCAAAATCTGATCCTCTGTTAAAGCAATGAGTTAAAGTAATCTATTATGTTCTCTTGATGTCTCTGTTAAATTCTAACTGCTTAAAAACAGCTGTAAAAAGAGCAATGGTAAAATGGAGGGATCCTATCACCAATCAATGGAATGGACCTGATCCAGTACTGGTATGGGACAAGGGCTCCTAAGGGATGGGTTTTTCCGTGTAACCAACATGCCTTTCTGCAATTGCTCCCTGGGCCGTGTGGCCCTGATGCTAACATCTGTATTTACAGCAGCGGATAGAGCAGTGGTGTGCTTTACCTGAAGACTACAATAACAATCATCCTAATAGGAGAGGACACTGCCCTTGCCATGGCTGCATCAGTAGTAAGTGTTCCTGGACTGGCTTTGGAAATAATCGTGGACTATGAAGGCTTACATGTTTGGTGACCAAAGCAATCAATCTTACTGCTACTGTGCTATCCAATATAGCCAAAGAATTGGATCAAGTTCACTCAGGAGTGCTTTTAAGCCATGCAGCTAACAATTACTTGCTGTTAAAAAAGATCATTTAAGTTGTAAACCTGTACCTGGGGGATATTGCTTTAACATTACTAACAATGTGCCATATATAGAGTCTGTTATTGATAAACTTAAGAGTAAAATGCAACATATGTTTATTACTAACCCACTATTCATTTGAAGGGTTTCAATGGATTCATTGGTTATTAATGTTGGCTGGACTGCTACTGCTTTTCCCACTTTGTATGGGATGTCTTCCATGTGTTCTGCATTTTATGCTGACTTCCCTACAGTATGAATGGACTGAGATTCATCATTTAAAACTTCGTACCAAGCCTCCTTTGTAATCAAAATAATTGATATTTGGCTGTATGTTTCATCTCTCACCTAATGTTGGGCTGGAATGGTACTCAAAGACGGGTAAGACGCTCAGCATCCTGTACCAACCTAAGACAGGGCTCTAGGCCAAGCTGCCAGAGTTACCGATGACGGGTAAGGACAGAGATGACTGAGGGCAACCTAAGACAGAGGCCATTCTCAATTTAATAAAAAAAAAGGAGGAGATGTGGGGACCCATGGCTGGCCATGGGCCCACATGCTAAGGCCTGGCTTGCTGATCATTGGCATTAGTCCTCACGCAACAGTATCAAGCCCTGGCCACCAGTGACCGTATTGAAACCCCTCATTAATGGGCACACAATTTTAGGATTAAAATTAGTTCAAAGAGAAAATGGGGGAATGAAAGGAGCGGCCGAGAGCCGCCATAAAATGGCCTTAATAAAACAGTCCTGGGAAATGGGGAGTAAACTAAGTTCACAGAGAAAGCAGATAGCTACTAGCCAGAGATAAGGGCTACTACCCAGAGATAAGGGCTACTACCCAGAGATAAGGGCGACAGAACATCCTGGTATGCACCTAAGCCCCCTCCCCTGTGCTTGTTCAAGCTTAACAAAGAAACCGCGAGACACGTAGGGCACGTAGCCACCCCTTTCTGCTCTTCAAGGACCCCCTCCCCTTGTGCAAGCTTAGACACGTAGGGCACGTAGCCCCCGTTTCTGTTCTCTCCTCCTCCTCGAGGACCTCCTCCCATTGTAGTTACCCAATAAACTTACGCCACCCTATGGTATGTTAATTTTGTGGTTTTGCCCCTTAAAAGCTGTGTGAGATAGCTGCTCGGGGCTCCTCTCGCTTGCTTGCTGCTTGCAGCAGCAGGGGGCCCATTTGCGCAAATGAAATAAAAATTACCTCCTGCTCTATTGCATCGTCTGGTCTGGAGTCTGTGTTTCTGGGGTCCTCACAAGAGGACACCGCTTTTGGGGTCCACGTAATAACCTATTTGACAATTTTAGCCACCTAACAATTACTATGAAGAATATCCCAAGCATAAGTAGTAATTCAGTAAATACTGTGATTGGCTCATCAATTGGATCAACTGGAGTTTGCTACACACATTAAATGTGCTTAAAAATTATATCTTACATAACTCATCCTTAGACAATTTACATTTTCCTCTATTTCCTCCAGCTTTCTCCTTCCTAGGTCAAGTTGAATGGAAAAATCCAAAAACAAACAAAAAATCCCTTTATATCTAGAACTCTATGGACTAGGTAATCTACTTGCTTATTAGTCTAAATTTACTCATTTGGTATGAATTGATTCTGAGTTCTGGCTCCAGTTTCCAACCACCTGCTAATGTAGACACTGGGAGACAGGAATGATGGCTTAAGTAATCGAGTCCCTACCAATCAGGTGGAGACCTGGATTGAGGTCCTGGCTACCAGCTTCAGCTCCTAAAGAGGAATTATGGGCATTTGGGCAGTGAACCAGCAGATGGGATGGTTTTTTCTAGCTCTCTTTTCTATCTATATTTCTCTTCAAATAAGTAAAAATTAAAATAAATAAAGAGCATAATGGAACTGAGAATGTTGAGATACATTGATTCATGGATGAGTACTGAAGCAGAGAATTAAAAGTTGTCAAATAGGATGTTGGACTTCTCCTTTCTATTCCTATCTACAAAGGGATCATTTTCTACCAAGATGGGGAAGAATCACAGCACCTATAAGTTATGGGGACACTAAAAATCAAGCATAAAATATAACCTTTTATTTCTCACTTATTTTGCCACTTTTCTAAATCTATTGTTTTCGCAGGGAAAGATACTTACATGTCCTCATCTCAGAATCTCAGAATCTCAAGGTTATATTTTATGCTTGATTTTTAGTGTTCCCTTAACTTACAGATGCTGTGATTCTTCCCCCATCTTAGTGGAAAATGATTCCTTTGTAGATAGGAATAGAAAGGAGAAGCCCAACATCCTATCCGACAATGAACAGACCACTAGCCTACGTGCTAAACCATGTAGATGGGCTAGGGATTAGAGTAGGGTTAGAGTTTCTCTCCAAAACACACAAATTGCTTATCTCAGTGTATGAGAGGACACAGATGAAATATTCCAAACACCATAATCTGGTGACAGTGGATTTAATTATGGGGAGAACTCAAGGTATCTGCATTTCTCTGCAAGCTATTCTTTTGTATCATGATGTATCTGGAAAGTCATGCTTAGCCTTTGAAAATCTCCAGTCAAGTACCACACGACTGATTCTGCCCTCAAGGAGTTCACATGAGATGGAGTATGAATATATCCCTAGGGCTGAGATTCAGTCCTGGTCCTTTCAACAGAAAACTACTGTCTGCACAAAATCAAGGATCACTTGCAGAAAGCCTCCCTTCAAGTTTTCAAATTATAAAATATATTTATCTACTTTGAAAGGAATAGTCATGACAGGTAAAACCACTGTATTTTATTCATTTTATATATATATATATACACACACACACATATACATATATCTGTATCAATCTAGAGACAAGGGAGTGGATTAAGTACAAGACAAAATTCTGTCTCATCAATATGCAGTGCTTTGGGATTTAACTGTAATCTTTCCTTTCCAGAGGCCCTATGTCTACAATCTCTGAGGATGTCAGTTGTGAGGCAAGTCCCTCTGAGAAAATGGAGCAGGGTCTTCTTAGGATCAAAGTAAACCTTTGACATGTCTCACATTCCTTTTCTGTCCATCCATGGCAATGAAAGGATGATAGGAGTAGACAATGGATCTCTCCTTTGGAAGTAGTGTGAAATAAAGAATACTTCAAACATCTGTAGAAAATGTGAATTATGACAATATGCATGGAATTCAAATTTTTCAACAACATGAATGTATCACTTAATTCTATATTCCATTAACTTTTTGAAATAACTTCACCCAGTGAAATGACTGTTAGGTGGCTTTGGGGCAAAACTTGTAAATTTTTACCTTATTTACTCCTTTGAGATAATATAATATATACCAAGATCTTGGTCGTGAGGATCAAATACTGGGATGTGCTGAAGAACCATAAGGAAGGAAAATGTTGAGAAATTCTGGGAACTTGGAATAGAATGATTCTTCCCACCATTCCTGCCCTCCCACCCATACTTCCACCCTATCACTTCCTCCCTCTCCCATTTCCAGTCCCATTCTCCTCTAAGACCCAGTTTCAGTTAACTTTATACACAGAAGACCAACTTTATACAAAGTAAAGAGTTCAACAATTTGCGTGGAAAAAAAAAAATTGTTCAACAGGCAAGACAAAGGCTGTTCATAGTCATTGCATCTCGAAGTTAATTTCATTTTTTTGAGAAACTTTAAAGAAGCACCAGAGAATGATACATTTTGTTTGAGCATTTAATACATTAAAAAAAAAAGTAAGTCCTTGAGAACAAGTTTTATCATTAATTAATGAAGCACCTAAGAAAACAAGCAATGGAATTGGACACTAAGGCATAACTAAAACTTGAGACATAAGAATATCCTCCACTTAACACACTAAACCAAGTAAATCTTTGAGAAGAAGTTTTACTGTTAACTCTCATAATACAACTCTGAGAACAGAAGACCTGAGTGGGAAATTAGTGCACAGTGACTCCTACTGTTAATTTAAGTAAAATGTCAGTGACCACCCAAGGCTCTTGACATGCTCTGCCTAGGCTATGGAAGCCCTTTGAATTCCCACAGTCAGTATTTAGACAAGGCTTTCTAGGTTGGGGCATTCACTCTTTTTTTAACTCTATATATTATTATTACCAGACACCTAATCCTATTTATATGATCACTGTAATACTTAATTCTATCTATAGCCAGTTCTTTTGACTCAGTTATGCCCCTCATTTTTTTTTTTAATATTTAGTTATATATTTATTTGGAAGGTAGAATTACAGAGAGGAAGAGAGAGGGAGAGCTTCCATCTACTAGCTCACTCACCAAATGGCTGCAATGGCCAGAGCTGGGCTGATCCAAAGCCAGGAGCTTGGAGCTTGGAGCTTCTCCTGGGTCTCCCACGTGGGTACAGGGACCCAAGGAGCTGCTTCCCCAGGCACATTAGCAGGGAGCTGTATTGGAAGTGGAGCAGGCAGGATTTGAACCAGTGCTCATATGGGATGCTGGCACTGTAGGCAGCAGCTTTACTCACTACACTACAGAGCTGGCCCCTCCCCTCATCTTACTCTATAGCTACCATTTTCTGTAGGTATATTGGCATACGTCTTGAGATGACTTGATAAGGATAATTTACTTCATCACTGATGGCAAGATCTCTTATACAATATATGAAGCTGTTGAACATACAGGTCTTAAATTCTTTGGGGCATCAGTGAAATATGTTATTCCCTTTATTTCCTCTTTGGATTCTGTATGAATTCTGACTGAATCATCTCTAATGATGGCCTTCATCTCATCAAACTCTCCAAAACATCAATGATAAACTTTCTACCTTAGTTTTTCTTAAATCTGGTCTTGATCCTATACTGTTTTCTATGAAGAAGCAGTTATCAGACTCCTTTTTGATTCCTCTTTATCTCTTGCCACCATCTATTCTGAGACCTCTGAGAGTCTCCTTAGCATTCTGTCTAGCTGAGGACCTTACTGAGGTTCCTTTTCTTTCACTGATCTTATTTCTGATTTCTTCTTCTTCATCTTCCCCTTGATGTTACTATACTTTACCTTCGAGATGACCTCACACCTCATTACTTTATTCACCATCCTCACAAACTTTCTTCTGGGTACCAGAGTCCATCCTATAATTGTCCTTTTTTTTTTTTTAAGATTTATTTATTTATTTGAGAGGTAGAGTTACAGACAGTGAGAGGGACAAAGAGAAAGGTCTTCCTTCCATTGGTTCACTCCCCAAATGGCTGCAACGACCGGAGCTGGCCAATCCAAAGCCAGGAGCCAGGTGCTTCTTCCCGGTCTCCCATGTGAGTGCAGGGGCCCAAGCATTTGGGCCATCTTCTACTGCTTTTCCAGACCATAGCAGAGAGCTGGATTGGAAGTAGAGCAGCTGGGACTAGAACTGGCGCCCATATGAGATACTGGCACTGCAGGCGGAGAATTAACCTACTGCACCATGGCGCCAGCCCTGGCCTTTTCATTCTTGTTCCCATTTCCCCACAGTAGCTGATGTGTATTTCCTCTGTTCAGAGCCCTTATTGCCTCTAGTCACTTCAAATCCTTTGCAATTTCCTGCTTCACATTAGGCTTTCTTGCATCTTTCAACAGTGTCCTTTCTCCCACAGTGTACTCTCCAGCCCATCCAAATGATCCCTTTATATCACTCAAAAACCTGTATCTGTCACTGGATACCTGATTGCTGCTGGATCCTTTTAAGCCTGATTTTCACTCCTTCCACCCTCAAAATTGGGTACCTCTCTGCTACCAGTACCTTTTTTCGCTGAACTTCTCACAACGCTGTGGACTGACACTTCATGAGGATTTTAGTTCTCCTGCTCCCAACCTTTTTTCAGTATAACCTGGCCCATCAGGACGCTGTGCCAGTATCCATTATTCCTGTACTGGTTTCCATCAGTGATGAGATGTAAAACTAACTACAGCATTGCCCTCAAAGAAGCTCCTCTAACACTGGTGTACTCTGGATGACAAAATCTGAACTTCTCTGGCACTGATACAACATTCAGGGAAATTTAACGGAAATGGTATTGCCAAAGAGCAAGTGGATTTTAAGCCCTCTGTACTTAAGGATCAAAGTGGCAAGAATATATAAAATAGATTGAACTTTCTCTGTGAAACTCCCAGCAATTTTACAGCTAGGAAATAGTGTGGTGAATGATCTGGAGCATATCTTAGGAAGGAGTCCAAAAGATAACCTATTAATGCACTCAGAAGGCTACTTCAAGAAGGTTCTATCATAGAGGAAATTGACTAGCTAAGTGACTCCCAGAAATGAATGATGAATTGCCACAGGATGTTAAAGGAGGAAAATAGTTAGAAGACTTGGAAAATGACCTGAAGGTACACTTGGCTTTTAATAAGTTGAACAGTACCTCGATCACTGGTTGTCTTTTTTTAGAAGTAGAAGCTATATACTTCTCAATACCAGGTTTTGCGCTTTAAAACAAGGGTGATAGAGTAAATTTTGAGGATGCAGTTAAATTGCCAACTTCAACTATGTCTTCCAAAATTTTTATGTGATGTTGTTTAAATAATAATTTATGACATTTTTAGAAAACACACATTTCATTGTAAATAATTTCTGTAATATTGAAAAATCTTCACTAATATCAACTGTACTGATTATGATATTTATCAAACCTTTCCTTTTCCTTTGACATCAGGATTTTTCTAAAATTTTTGACATAAGGTATCATCTATGTGTATAAATGTACTAGCCAATAAATTGTCTTATTCCACAAAGCTTGAACTATTTCCTTAATGACAAATTATTTCTTACTAACATTGCTTCTCTTGATCCATTGTTCTTATTACTCTACACTTTAAGAGAATCACTAATATATGTGCTAGTTATTTTAGAACTGATTTGTGTCTGAACAATCAGCAAACAAGGAATAGAAGGAAATGCTCTCAACCAAATAAAGAACCCTTATAACTAACACCATAGTTGATAGTGAAATAAATTTTGCCTCTCTAAAATCAGGAACAAGATTATGATGCTCTTTTTTATCACTTCAACATACATGTGGAAAATCCTAAGAAATCTATAACAGATCTACCAAAGTTTACATGTGATTTCAAGGTAGTGACAGATGTCTACAAACTTTGTGAAGATAAACAAATCAACATACAGTAGAGAAATGAACTGTGTTCCAAGATCAATATCTTAAGACATTACCTACAGATTGATTTACATACTTAATTCAATCTCAATATAAACTGAAACAAACATAGGCATGCTAATTTTAAAAAAAGGACTCATAATAGCCAAAATTTGTTTTAAAAAAAGACAAAGTTGACAGAACAAGACTACTTGTTTTTAAGACTTTTAATATGGTTACTATAAAGCTTGGTGTCTACTTAAATGCAAATAGATCAATGGAACAGAATAGCGTCTAGAAATAATTATTTTTCAAATTATGCAAAGGAAAGAATAAGAAATGAAGGAGGGAGAGAGTGGGAGTGTAGAAGGATCATTATGTTCTTAAAGCTATATATATTTGAAAAACATGAAATATGTTCCATTTATATAAATTAATATTTAAAAAAGATATTAAATCAATTCCTTCTTAGCCCTTCAGACTGTTTCCAATGCTTAATGTTTCAACTTCAGCCTCTCTGGAGAGCACGCACGTAACTAGAAAGTAGATATGAAGTGTCACAAATTATGGATACATGATGAAATTCAGCTTAAATCAAATTCTAATTCGTAACTACAAGAGTAAAAGTGTTAAATGAATATGGACTGCCCGGGAGTTGGGAAATTCGACTTACTTGCTAAGATGGAAGTAGCCAGAACACATTACCCTGTTTTAGACCTGAAACACCCAGCTGAGGATGCTTATTCATTCATCAAGCAATTGACCAAGCACAATTTAGGACGACAAAGCTTAACAAGACCGGATAAAAAGAAAACAGCACGCGTGCACAGAGCGCCCACCGTGAGCCAAGCGCGGCGTCGGGTGACCACTGCGGGGGTCTCCAGACTGGGGCTTGGGGAGGAGGCAGCCCTGGAGGAGAAACGAGCAGGGATTCCCGGCAGTCACTTCCAAGTAGGATCCTGGGGTCAAAAGCTGAGCTCTGCAACCTGCGGGCTGTCCACCACTGCGCGACTTGGGGAGGGGGCGGATCTGCTCTTGGGGAAGCTTCAGGCGGGATCCCGAGGACCCCGTAACTCTTCCAACCCCAGGCATTAGCCTACGCGCGAAGCAGAACACACCGGAGGCCACGGACGCTGTCACAGCGGGAAAACTCTGGCCAACTTCTAGCAACTCCCCTTCGCCTAGCTCTAATCCAGTAGCTCCTTCCTGGTCACAACCTAAGCCGCACGATGCCCTTGAGGAGCAGCCGCCTCCTTCAATCACCGTCT